TAGTTATACCAGACTAAAAGTATTCTTGCAAAAGCAATGTACAGCGCTCGAATCTGTTGCTTTAACCACAAATAAGAGCTGTAACGCTAGATCAAGTTCCGACAATGGATTCAATATTCAATCAAAATAAAACTAATGTTAACCACAAAATCAATTTAAAATGTCATTCTTTCTTGGCCAAAAATGAAAGTGGTCAGGAAAATTCCGAACATCAAAGGGCAATTTCATGTCCCCTATGTTCAAGCGCTGGTCATCTTATTTACCAGTGCGGTAAGTTCCTCTCCAAGTCTCCTGAGGAAAGACTTACTTTGGTGAAGTAAAGGCGGTGGTGCCCTAACTGTCTTCATATGTCTCACGATTTAAAAGGCTGTGGTTCCAAATCAGCTTGCAGAATCTGTTCGTCAAGAAATCACCACTCATTGCTGCACCACAACAATTCCAGAATTATTTCGATTTTCGAACGATAATTTCAATTCCAATACGCAGCCCAGCTCTACGAATACCAATTTTAATTCTAGCCCTCAATTCAATAATTCAAGTTTCAACCCTCAAGTTAGTAATCCCAATGCTACCTATAGTTGTAATTCGCAAATGAGACCAAGTCAGTCTATTTCAAACCCAACCTTTGAAAATTCTGGTTCGATGCAAAACCCCATGCACCAATTCGCACACTCGCAAATGCGCTATAATTCAGCTTTTCATATTTCGGGTAATCCATCTCTGATTCTAAACCCATTTAGGATTCCAACTTCGCACAATCAGGTGCTCAGATTCCGAATATACAGTCCACTTCTTCCAATTCCACCAATTCGGGTTCTAGTTCTAAAAACGCTCATTGCTATCACTCGCAAGTCAATTCAAACAATTCTTTAAATACGACCGTACTACTTGGTACAGCGGTCATTGATATTTGTATTTCATGGGGGAATTTTCTAGACAGCTGCAGTCAGATTAACGCGATAACGGCAAAATGCGCAAACCGATTGGGCCTTCAACGATTTTCCAGTTCTAACACAGTTTTTGGGCTAGGGCACTCTTCAACCAAGTCTCTCGGATCCGTGCAGTGCACAATCAAACCCACGGATCAGTGGCGACCTTCCTTCACTTTTGGCGCGGGAGTCACAGAAACCATATGCCCTAAAATGCCAGTCATGCCGGTCTCTGTGGCCAATTGGTATTCAATTCACAATATTCCGCTGGCGGATCCTAAATTTAACTTGCCTGGTTCAATAGACGCCCTCCTAGGAGCAGATGTTTTTGGTCATTTCATTCGAGAGGGTCGCATCGAAGGTCACTCCGGGCTTCCTTCTGTTTACAACACAATCTTTGGATGGGTCGTCTTAGGCGAAACAGCTTGCGAATTGGCACTATCTACTTCCTATACCTTCCTTATTTCTTCCGAGGCGTCGATCGATTCAACACTTCGAAGTTTCTGGGAACTTGAAAATGTCCCCGAATTAACATCCCCTTCATCAACTCTGTTTGTCCTGATCAAACCGGCCGATACACCGTTCATTTGTCATTCCGAGAACAGGAACCTATTTTTCACAGTTCACGTTCCATCGCGCTTCGCCGTTTTCTCTCCATGGAAAAGAGGCTGCTGCGCTGCTTCAACATACGAGTCGTATAAGGAAGTAATAAACGACTACTTAGCCTCCGGGCACATGATTCAAACAAATACTCCAGACGCAGACTTAGGTCATTTTTACTACATACCACACCATTACGTGCTCAAGCATGAAAGCGCTACAACAAAAATGAGAATTGTATTCGACGCCTCAGCGTCTGATTCTTCAGGATGCTCTTTAAACAAGACTCTGCTTCCTGGGCCAAAACTGCAAAAAGAAATATTCGACGTTCTTAGCAATTTTAGGGCCAAGCCCTTTGTTTTCACTGCTGACGTTAAACAAATGTATCGGCAAATTCTAATAACACCCCACCAACGTAAATATCAGCGTATTCTTTGGCGTTTCTCGCCAGAAAGTCCCATACAAGACCATGCACTTCAGACTGTGAGCTTTGGCATTTCATCTTCCGCCTACTTAGCCCAGAGAACGCTTGTTCAGTTGGCTCGAGATGAAGAATGTAATCATCCTCTCGGTTCAAAAATTCTTCTTTCCGACGTCCACGTAGACGATGTCGTTTCCAGTTTTTCTTCGCTAGGGGAGGCCCCTGTTTCACAGCGGGACCTAATTTCTTTGCTAAAAAAAAGGTGGGTTTGAACTCAGAAAATGGGTTAGCAATCATCCCCGTCTTCTTGCCAATATTCCGGCCGAAGAAAGGCTCGAACAATCGTTATCTTTCAACCCAGAAGCTTCCACCTCGTCCGTAAAAATTCTCGGGCTCAAGTGGAATGCTGTCAGTAATTCATTCTCGTATTCTGTAGACATAGTGTCGGAACATTGTTCAAAACGCGCCATACTCTCTAATTTAGCACGTATATTCGATCCCCTCGGGTTTCTTGCCCCTCTCACATTTTTCGCCAATTATTCAGCACTTATGGACTCTTGGTCTAGAATGGGACCAAGCTTCCCCCGATAATATTTGTGTCAAATGGAATCAGTACAAAGCTAAACTTCCCGTCTTATCCTCTGTTCAAATTCCTAGGGCATTATTTCAAGGACAAGTTGTTTCATGCCAGATGCATGGATTTGCCGATAGTTCGGAGCGTGGCTACGCTGCAGTGGTTTACCTAAAAATTGTGACGAGCAAAGATGTTTAGAATTCGTTGGTAGCAGGCAAGTCCAAAGTAGCCCCTGTCCAGAGAGTACGTCTCCCTTTGCTGGAATTGTCCGCTGCGCACCTTCTTAGTAAGCTCATGCAACACATTCTAATTACCTACTCCGATAAAATCAATATTGAGAAAACCTTTATCTCAAACCGAGTGGCCGAAATTCAGGAGAACATACCTCCTTTGTGTTGGTATCATGTGCGTTCAGAGCACAATCCCGCTGACTGCGCATCACAGGGTCTATGTCCCCAGGAACTAGTCGACCATTCCCTATGGTGGGCGGGCCCAACTTGGCTTAAGGATCCTCCCGAATCATGGCTCAGAGATTGGCCTTGAGAATCCTATCGTGGGTGAAGAAGGAAAAGATTTCTTTTGTATCTTTTCCACCCTTTTCAGTCATAGATTCTTACTTAGAGCGATAACCGTCCCTCAGTCGTATACAACGTATTGTTGCTTATTCGCTCAGATTTATCAACAATCTTCGCATCTAAAAAGAGCTTCGAGAGTTCGAACCATTTAACCAATTTGAATTACACGATGCTCTGCTGCTGTTAGTTAAGCAAGTACAACGTATTTTCGCAACACATTACCCATCTTGAGAGGAAGAAACCGCTCTCAAAACCTCTTCGTAAACTTTGTCCCTTCCTTGACGATCAGGGTGTCCTCAGGGTGGGCGGTAGAATCGTTCACTCGAATTTGGCCTACGATCATAAGCATCCCGCGCTATTACCTAGGCAACATCGCCTCACGGACTTGATTATTGAGGAAGCCCATCGAAAGAATTTCCATGCTGGTTTTCAGACCCTCCAATACCTAATATCTCAAAATTTCTGGATATTATCAGCTCGTCGAGCTATTCGTCAGAGATTAGGTAAATGTTTGAAATGCTTTCGACTTCGACCCACGACTTTGCAACCTTCAATGGTAAATTTACTTTCCTACAGAATAAATCAAATAAAACCCTTTTTCATTTTTGGAGTAGACTATGGTGGTCTCTTATTTGTGACTTTATCTAAGTCCCGCGGTTGCAAGACCTAAAAGAGATGTCTTACCATGCAGAAAAGGTAAAATGGTCTTTCAATCCTGCTTCCTCCCCCTAGTTTGGTGGGCTATTCGAGGTGGGAATCAAGGCCGCTAAATCCTTTCTCGTCAAAATAATTGGTGAGCAGGTTCTATCATATGAGGAATTATATACGGTAATTTGTCAGGTAGAGTCTATTCTGAACTACCCAGAATAGGGAAAACAAGTTTTTTCCTATTATCCACTGAAAATTTTGGATTAATTTTCTACGCTTTTCCATCCATAGATGCTTTTCGATATATCAGATCTCATCAGTGTGGCTAGGAAAGCAAAGATCACAGGGGTCCTATTTTCGAATATTTTCGAATACGAAATTTGACAGGATTTCCAATGCTTCCCATTTAATTTACATTGCTGTCAATCAAATTTCGTGTACGAAATGTACTCGAATGGTTTCGAAAATCGCACCCCAGCAGTACTTTTACATCAAAAGTGTTGTTAAGTGCTGAATCCTAGTCTATGATGGCGCATCACGATCAAAATTCGCTCTTTAGCACTTAGCTTGGATTGCGTTTCTTTGCTTTCCTAGCCACACTGATGAGATCTGATAGATCGAAACGCGTCTGTGGATGGAAAAGCGAAGAAAATAACACAACATTTTCACATCAGTGGATGATAGGATAAAAATTGTTTTCCCTATTCTGGGTTTTCCCAACTAACTGATTTTTGGTCGGCCTATTAAAGGGTCAGTACTTTTACAGCAAAAGTGTTATTTAGTGCTGAATCCTAGTCTTAGATGACACCACGATCAAAATTCGCTCTTCGTACTACTTTTACTTTGCCTGCAGGCACGAAACTTGGGTTCGGTTTCATTGCTTTCCGAGCCGCACTGATGAGATCTGATAGATCGAAACGCGTCTGTGGATGGAAAAGCGAAGAAAATTAACCTAACATTTTCACATCAGCTACATTTGATATTCTAAAGTTGCCGCCACTTGGCCGAAACTGAAGGGAAAGTGTTGAAATTGGATGACACATGGTAGAAGCGGCACAAAAAGTTACCCAGATCCTCAAATTTTCAGTTACATTGGATGACGCGTTACGGAGTTATCACCTGAGAAAAACGTCATGGGTCACCCTGTATTTTATTTTTCATTCAAGAAGGTATATTTTTTCAATCCCAGTTCTGATAACGTTATAATACATAAACAGTACAGTATGACAAATGAAAAGAAAATATTAACTAGGTGAAGTTTCATTGTCACATGAAATTTTATTTCGCAGCATACAAAGATATTTCAGGTTTAATTGGTATAATACAGGTATGCAGGACGTAATCTACTACCTGAAAAAACTGTCTTCAGCTATCAATTATTCTCTTCGCTTCCTTCTGTGTTTGTCCTTCTGCAACAAATAGAACGACATGAGCAGATCTTCAGAAAACACCAAGTATTTTTCTCATTGTTAAAAAAAATATATATTAACCTGATTGCTTGAGTGGTCTCCTGATTCAAAATTATAAGTATGTTCCTGAAAATACCAAACACACTAACAAACAAATACAAAGAGTGTGCTGCAACGTCCTTGTTTCCCATTCTCCTCTGCTCGATTATAGCCTGTGTTTCATACAAAATAAAGGCACACAAGATGAAAAGTTTCAAATAAACGTCAACTTCCCACAATAAAGTTGAACCGAAAATGATATTGGCAAGGCTCACAACTATCAGGGCTTCCCAGAAAGTAATTAAAACTCCTCCTAAAAACATCCATTCTCCTGTTTCAGAGAATAAGGCGCAGATAGTGAATGAGAAAAAGACTCCGCTGGCAGCTAGAAAGGCGTTAACCAGGATGCTCGGGTCAATCATTAGAGCTGCTCGAAGCAAGGGGCCCAAGTTAAATCCACTCAAAATAGAAAAGCCCAGAAGATATCCTAGTCTTTTGGCTGTAGATATGCCATCGTGGTCTGGAGATAGTATCAATACGAAAAATAATAGCATTTCCGCTATTGTGGAAAGTACCAAAAGTACAGATCCGCCTGCTGATGAAATGTTTGTGAATAGATGGATAGAGGCTCCAACAGCAGCAGCCAGATTGGACATGACTAAACTGGCGTAGACATTTCTCAGGTAGTGTTTGATTGAGGGTTCCCTGAAATAAATGAAAACGTAAATTAGGTTTTGTTGATATTGGATAAATTTGTTTGCAACAAGCTGATTTTTCTTACATGAAAATAATAAAGAAATAATTCGTTATATTATTTTTAAATTGCGGTTTCAAAAAATTTAATAAAACCATTCGATGGAGATGATCAGTCTAACTGGTGTTGCAATCCCAGTTCACTTGCAGCAAAAATTGAGAAACTTGAAGTTCTCTGGAAAAGAACTCTTGGCTATTTTACCAATGAAATACAGTGACGTTAGATTTTGTTAGAAGCAACTTAAACTGCTATCGGTGAACAAAATGAAGGAATAGGGAATAAAAGTGTGTTTTGAGCAGCATTAATTTAACATTTAAGCTTTGCTTGAAATCGACTATTTTAGGACAGTTTATGCATTAATTAAAAAAACACAATAATTAAAGCTGAATATTATGATATATTGAAATGTTTATACTTACAGCCTATTATTAAGAGAATTAATCATCATTCATCAATGAAGCCATACGGTAAATTTGCTTTTTTTTATTTATTTTAATCCTAAATGTTACTATTTGAGTCTCACTGACATATTGCAAAAGGTCTACAACATGTCTAATGGTGATTTCCATTTGTCAATCAGTGCGCACTGAGTGTATTCGCATCTTTTTCTAAAAGCATGTAAAATATAAGGATAAGGATACATTTTTTTTCCACTGATTCTAGAAATGGAAATTGCTATAAAGCAAACAAAATTGCAGGTGTTGCCAATAACTCAATAAGGCTGTACTCACACAACAAGCAATAATACGCAAATATAGTTCAAATTTTATGACAGATATGGGTGGCAGCCAAAATTGAGCAGCATACCACGGAGCAGATATTTTGCTGTCCTGCGCTTGTTCGAAATATCTACAGAAGCCATTGTTTGCTTTGCCTATTCTTTCGGAGATATTTCACTAGGTTATGCCCACTGTGCAAACGGATGACAGTTCTAATCACAGATTAGTTCTAATGTCTCTATCACAGGTCTCTATAACGTAACATTTCAGAAAAAAACTTCTTACACATGCATATGGCTGACCAGCATCAGTTCGGAGGCTTCTGGGTTAGCTTTGTGCCAATACGGTAAATCTAACATTTACGTAACATGCTTTTTTTTCAGATTTTCAGATTTCAGATTTTCAGTTTTTCAGACCACGAGACTTTTATATGAAGTTATCGGCCGTTTTTCGTTCTAGATTTTTCGTCATACTGCATGTTTTGAGATTTTTTAAATCTGACAAAAAAATCATAACCCCATAATGTTTGAAAATAATGGCCGGCAGACAAATAACGGGCGGTGCAGCGGTCGTTAAATAAACCTTTTCAATTTCAATTTTGTTTTTGTTATGGTAATGAGGACAGTACAGTAAGACGAAAATAGCTATTTCTGTACCAAGGGCATTATGTAGATTGAAATACCCAGAAGGTGAAATTAGCCTGTCAAAAATCCTGACTAATAGAGAAACAATAATGCGACGTACGCTTTCGTAATCAAAGCACTCTTTGATATGTTTTCATATGCTTTCACCTGATTCTGTTGGAAAGGAGTCTGCGAAACAATGGTTACATAACTACTTAATTTCAATTTAAATTTTCTAGAAAGATGTTCACTTTCCAAAGAATTCAGGAATTTGACATTCGAAATCTTGGTGAACCTGATACTTTTCTATTCTTTTTTGTGAACCTCTTCCACAATATCATTATTCGGAGTCTGGATCAGCTGGAATGACGTCACGCCAGAAATCTATTGCCTACTCCTGGAAATAAGGAACAACCCGTGTCCCGAATAACTCCAGTTTACGAAAGTAAAACCCCGACAACTATCGAAGAGCTCCGGATTAGAAAGCTACCAGACATTATCAGTCTCACCAGAAAAAGTAGAAACTGTTCATAAACATAATTCAAATTTTCTATAAAAATTGTAACATTCAAGTATTGTGATAAAATTATTCTTTGTTGCAATTTGAGTGGTTTCATTTGTACTTGAGGACAACACGTTTTATTATCTTTTTTCCACAACCTTTCAGATTATCTTGCTCTGTATTACTTAGCTTAACTTCAAATTAAAATTGAGGTAAAGTAGTAACAGTGCACAGCTATTCGGGCGCCACTAAATTGACTGAGGCTTAGGTAATTTAGAAATTCACTAATAGGTGTTATAAAGAAATAATACAATATAGAGAGCTTGGAGATATAACTATAACTCAGGTATAAAACCTATCATGAATTGTCTGGACTTCTTTATGTGAATCATACGATAAGAATCTCTGAAAATCCTAAATGATCTGCTGAAGCTGTTGGAATTAAAATATAAATATTATTATGTATTAAACAAAAAAGATTAATTTTTGTTGGGGTAAATCCTGGATAAAACTTGATTGGGAGACCTGAGTGTTACTATACCTAGGATGACCATGTGTCCTTTTTGTAGTAGGACAGTACTTTCTTTTTAAACACAATGAAATGAAGCTTATTTCGCTATTTTACTTTGTTGCATTACAAGAGGCTATACTAATGAAGAAGAGAGAACGATATATTGTTGTAACCTCGTATACGAAAAAGTGACCTCAATGAAAGTTGCTCAGTAAATTATTCCTCACATTTCTACCTAGACGAATTGTTTCTGCCACTTCTGGTTTGTTTGCTATCCAGAACCACTTTGTTCTTTCAAATGAAACACCTTGTATTTGATTGTATATTTGAATGTTTCGTCAAATTATGACCAGATTTCATGTGATATACCGAGACCTACCCTATACCTAAGTTCAACTGTTTTGGAAATATTGACAGTTGAAAATTGACTTTTTTGCAAAGAAATTAATTATAGACAGTGTGTCGAATCGAAGAGATGTTTGAAATTTCTCACAAACACAAGTGTTTCCACCAAAGATTCAACACACTGTTAATTACTCATACTATGAGCATAGAATAATATACGAACTAGAAGGATAATTGCATGTTAAAAATCGGGCCCCTCCGATGGATCCAGGCTTTCTGTCGCGCGATTCCATTTGACCCCTGAGTACGAAAACCTAGACCGTGTTGCCAATTGCAGCACATTGTCGTTGTGTTTCTATCTTTGTGATTTTATTTTTATTTTAATTTCTACTTAGATGAGAAAAATGTACAACAATTACATTATTGGTTAATTACAAATTTTTTTACTAGGTCCAACAATTTTTATATCGAAAAATGTCATGAATTTGTCAAAATTCAGTTTTCATACTTTTTCACACATACCTCGCGATATCTCCGAAACCAATTGAAATAATTTCACTATTTTTTATTCTAAAGAGATTATGTTAACGAAAATCTGTAAGATAATTTTGTTTGTCTGAAAAACTCGCTTTATTCGTAAAACTAGGTAAAACTTCAACTTACAGTTTTTATGCAGTATTTTTTTCAGTAAGCGAGAAACTTTTTTGTTTTGGATTTCTGCCATACTATCAGCGAATGAAACAAAGGTAAGACATCATGGAAATTTTTGAAAAAAAACACGATACTCCGCAATGCATAGTTTTCAAGATATCGTCACTTGAAGTTGAGAGTTTTATCGGCCGTGCACTACCTACTCCGGGTAGCTTCGCCACACTAAGCGCAGCGCGCGTCTTTAGTGTCATTTACATCCACTTAACTCAACGTACCTACGGAAAATTAATAATAAAGAAAACTTGAAGATCATGTACTTATATGTAGTTGTTTACATCCACCTAAAAATTAAGAAAATTAACGTAACACACGGAAAAGTTGAACCAACTTTAACTTAAGGAAATCCGTACGTTAATTTCAATAATAATTATGAATGACAGACAGATTGAACTATTAATGTTATTGGTGATTACACGTAGGAAAATTAACTTCATTGTAAACAATGTAAACACAAACCTTCTCAGTTTCGAACGTTAACTATAATTTTTCGTTACTTTGATAAGTAGTTACGTTAAGTGGATGTAAATGACCCTTTTCGACTGCCTGGGTGCATTTTCATGATATATTTGAGCAAATTAAAATTAATAAAATCTGTAACTTTGGTTTTAAATAATAATGGCATAAATATTTACTTTTCACTGATTATTTTCATTAACTTGGTCTTGGAAATTTGACTCATGTTGTAAATAACAACAAAAAAGCAAGGGTTCGTTCTGTAAAATTCCCCAATAATTTGCAAAAAAATGCATAGGGTATTTTTTTATAAGCCCTATGTATAAAAAAAAACACTAAAATATACACATTAAATTTAAAATCCTCTAAATCATCATGCCACATCATGCGAAATCACGTCGTGTTTTCTACTACATATAGATATCATCTATTGATAAAAAAATATGCAGTTCTACTTATGTCCTAACTGTATAAATAGACTTTGGGGAATTGGTGGTATTGTGCAGTAAACATGAATAAGCAATAGGTATTAGGACATCGATATCAACAGATTCTATCAGAATTGTGTTAACTGATTTTAGTTCTGTTAGCACATATAAGGTAATAATCTGGTATTAGCTTCTTCTTGAGTACAATCTAATTTTTCCAGATGAAACAAAGTTCAGAATCCTGGAATCCACCTGTTATTATGACTGTTGATTCATTTATTAGGCTTTTTTTCATGGTCGGCACACGGCACACACACAAAAGGAAAGTCCTATATCAACGAGTGGAGTGTGTGTGGAGGTGTCGATGGACATTGGTCGCTGTAGGTTCTAGTTTTCGGGGAAGATGCGACTTTGAAGTGCATTCTAGTGCGAGGCGGCCCTCCAGAAAAATGAGTCTCGAAACAGCGATGTTCTAGGTATTTATAACTGAACTGTATGTTGATGAGCTGCTTGTGCCTGACGAGTGTTTCTGTTTGGTGCAACTTTGGGCGAAATCAGAAGTGCTAGCTCGTTCGAACACCTTCCGTAGTAGTATCGATAGTAAGTGATAGGTCCGCCAATTTTCACCGATGTTCAAGGCTTTGGAGGTTTTGGTCAACTCCGGGTCATCAATAAGACGGACTGCTCTCTTTTGTATCGAGTCCAACATCTTGAGCAAGTGTTTGGATACCAATCTCCATATATATTTGCAGTATTCCAAGGATGCTCTTATCTGGGCCTTATAAGAGTAGCAAAAGCTGAAATGAGATATACAACTTCCTTATTCTATAAAAAGCCCCTAGCTTTTGTGCTGCTCTCTTGGTGATTTTGGTGACGTGGTTACGCCAAGACATGTTATTTTACACGTTGATGTCCAATACGTTTATGGATGAGGCCAAGACCCAGTGTTGGTCCTGTCATTGTTATAGGTCGGATCCTGCAAGTTTTGCCTTTTTTGAGAAAATAGTTGCTTACGTCTTTCCTGCAACAATGATTGTTTATGCACAATGTTGCTTGCCTTCTCCTAATGTTGTAGTTCTTAAATTGATACCATACTGATACCATCAATAATAAAGGAAACTACTTCCCGACAAGTCGTTAAAGTAGTGATAAATTACTCTTTTTTTTTGCTTATTTCATTGAACCGCCATCATAAAATTAATACTTATTGTGAAAATTTATATGCATGGTG